CTGGCCACAAGATCTCTAACGAACACAGCCTGATCATGCGATTTCAAGTGGGCTCTAGTTCGGGCAGGAGTGCTACTTGAGGGTACTCGGCGTCTGCCCACCGGAGTCATCAGCTTGTAGACCAGGTATACGCCTCCGACGGGCCCTTCTCCTCCTCCTCCCCTCAGGCGGTCCGTCATCACCTGGACCCCCCCGCGGCGCTGGCCTCCTCTCGGCAAGCTCAAGGGAGAAGACGTTATCTCTGATGAACCTTGCGGCCGCATCCCAGCCCTCACCAGTTGAACCACCCGCATCCAACCAGATGGCGCCAATGATAGCCTCAACACAGTCGGCCAGGGCCTTGGGCCCCTTGGGAACAGGTTGCTCGTCGTGGTGGAGCTCTCTGACGTAACGGCCGATGGCACTTTGCAACGCGACTGAGAGTACGTTGATACGATTCTGCGCTCCCAACTTGAGAACGGCAACCCTCGCCAAGTGGAAGTTGCAGGTATAGTCGATGAAGGAACTGAGCGTAGCTCTTCCTTCTTCATACAGCTTGGACCACACCACCGCCCCGAGGACGGCATCGCCGATCCACTCGAGACGCTCATTCGAGTAAGATGGACTCACAGCAGCAACACTGGCATGTGTGAAGGCCTCCATGAGTAACCAAGGATGACGCCTGAACTCATATCCACCAATAGGAGGTACGTTGAGGCCATTTGCGATCAATAGAGTGTCGTAGGTCACGGGAGGGCGCAGCAGATAGTCTCGGACCATGGGCGGTATGTCCTGGGGCAACCCCATCGCTTCCACCTCGGCCCGTCCACCAACAGCTGAGTGTGGAACAAGCTCGCCAACTTCGTCCTCGGGTATAAGCTCTAGACGGCGGAGAAGAGCCATTCCAGCTCTCCAGCCAGCCTCACCAAAGACTACACCAACGAGAGAGGTGGTTGATGTCCTCAACGCATTCAAGAACGCCGTGGTCCTGTCTCTGGCGGCCCCTTCCACAACAGGCTGAGCAGCGCCCTCAGCGACTTGATAGCCAGGCAGGGGAGATGACTGCTGGTCACGCCACTGCATAGCTGAGCACACCGTGGACATCAAACCTCGATAGGCGACGCGCTCTCTAAGGACGTACGCCTGGCGTTCCTCAGTCAACTTGCCCTCGAGAGCCGCCTCTCCTTCATCGAACTGGTCAGCCCACACATACTCGGAGGCCAGTATTTCCAGCAGGGCACATCCCAGAGGTTCGTGCTTTTCAGAATCGATCATCATCTCGCATTGCTTCGGGGTAAGGGCTTCGAATAGCAGATGGAGTGGTACGGCAGCAAGAGTTCGGCTGAGTGGGGAAGCTTCGACTCTCGCCAATTCTGATACAGTCAGGCCAATCTCAACAAGTAGGCGAGGGTCGTCCTGGAAGGCATCCAGGATTCGAGCCATCTCCACCATATCCCCGGTGCTAGCAGAAACTATATAGAAGGGGCGATCGGCCTGACACTGTGACCAACTATCGACGACAGCACCCCCATCCACCTTGGCGAAAACCTGTCGATGGAATGCCCATATAGTGTTCATAAAGTCTCCAGTGACATTGACAGCTC